ACAGAACCGAGATTCAGTTTTATGCTTCAATAAAACATTTCATCAAATATAATTAGTACGTAAAACACAGGATTTGAGGAATAGATGAAGCCCCGCCACTAATGCAAAAATGTGAAATTGAAAAAAACATCTCTTCTTACGTTTCAAAATTAAAAAATAGCAATTATCCAGTTGGGGTTAGGAATAACTTTAAATTTCCAATCTTCATTTTCAACCCCTAATGAATAATTCTTATGAATAATGAAAAGAATTTATGAAAATAAAATCCAATCCCTGATTATTCGAAGTTGTTGCATCGCAGACAAAGTAGAACAAAATAAAAATTAGTAATCCAGACTCTAAGCAGTTTTGAAACACAATTTTTTCACAACCAGAAAAAAAGTTTTATGCTGCTATCGTTAGATATAAGGGCTGTTTGTGGCCTTCAAAGCGAAAGTCATGATAAGCGTCGTATAAAAAATTGAGTTCTTCAGTGTATATAAGTGACAAAAAAAATAAAGGGGTGTCCATTATTTTCTTACACAAATAACAAATTAAGTAACGCGACTATCTATTCTAATGATTTGAAAACGTTTTTTTTTTTTATTTCAGGTATGATTTTTCGATGAAATAGACAACTGAAAACATACGATTGCGGAACGTTAATCTAAGTTTGCAATAAAAGCATATAAATTCTACAATATACGAGCTTCTAGAATAAAATGAAAAGCTTTTACAAGTTCAGAAGAAATTACATTATCACAGAAAAAGATAAAATATAAAGTTGCGTATTGAAATAATACAATTAGTAATTGAACTAAATTGTTAAAAAATAGTAATTATCTAGTATGGCTTAGAAAAAATTTAAAAGTTGTATATCAAGCACAATCTAAATTCCCAACCCTATATGGATAATTACTAATTTTCTTCATTTTGTGCGTTTGCGGTGTTGCTTTTTATGCGGGGATTCGTACAAAAGCTTCTTTATTTCTAATTGAACTTATAGGAACATAAACAATAGTATTTGAGTTTCCAAGGGAAACATATTTCAAAAAACAGCGGTTCGACTATCGATGATTTCTGTGCAATACTGTGTCCTGTTTGACAGAATGTTTTGTTCAGGGGTGCAAGCAATGACCCCTCCCACTGATATTAAAAAAAATGAACTTTAACCATACTTACATACAAAAATTAGATTTATTTCTATCTAAACTATAAATTGTTAAAATAATTTTCATGTTTTTTTCTTCAGTTAAACAATGCAATCGCTATCAACAAGTGAGAATAGTAACAATGACGTCACATAGGGATTTGGCAAAAAATGTTTTTTGAAAATAAATTCAATCCTTAAATATTTCAAGTTGATTGTAATGAAGACAAAAGAAAACAAAATAAAAATTAGTAATCCAGACTCTAAGCAGTTTTGAAACACAATTTTTGGACTCCTATACCAGGAAAAAATCTTTTATGCTGCTATCGATACAGTGATGATTACGAATTAATTTTTAAAAAAAAATGCATTTTTTCGTAAGCAACACGCTATATTGGTCGGCACAATAGCCTAGTGGTCAAATCTTTAAACTTAACTGTGTGGCTGTCACAGATTACAATCTCTTATTGAGATCCCGTGCCAAGCCATCTTAGAAAAGCATACTTCGCATACTTCAGGAGGTCCGTTTTTTTATTCCAGGGAGGAATTTTTGATAAAATAGAAAAACAAAAACATACGATTGCGGAACTTTAATCTAAATTTGCATTCTACAATATACAGGATTCTTGGTTCACATAATTCTGGAGTAATGAATTTAAAAATCATTGTCCACTTGCTGATAAAAGACGCCAAAACAATAATTTTGAGTTAAGGCTAAAATTTTGATTAAATTTCCAATATAGACTCATATGAGGTTGCAGTCATGCCAGGCTCAACGTGAGATCTCCCACGTGCAGTTCGTGTAAAATATTTTGGAAGCTACGTAGCCATGGTATGCAGAGTGGGAAACGTTGGTCAGGTGTATCCGGTATATCTAGTTGTCGTTTGGGTTTTGTTGATTTGGCCCGTCTGTAAAGAAACAAGTTTCATGTTGATTAGTGAGCGGCTTCATAAGCAGCAAACAGGGCTCAGGATTAAAAGAAAAATGGAGGAATGGTTTTCGGACCCGAGATTTAACCGGCAATGTCAATATTGCCAAGTTTCTGCTTTGCATTACTTCGCCATTGCACCCACGAATTTTATAACATATAACATCGTAATGGTGGTTTAGAGACTCTAAATAAAATATCATTGTGCGTTGAAGACCTCGGCGCAAATGTTAAATCAACCAGCTTGTAATGATTTGCATTAAAGAGTCGCATGTCGCATTAAAGAGGGTTGATTCTTTCAAGCCATAGCAATTCTGACATTTTAGTATAAAGGGACCTGGCTGAAGTTAAAATGTGTTTGAACCTTCATGCCCGCTTCCCCGCTCAATTTATATCTGGCTTTGTGAACTCTACGAAATCGGTCTAATCACGGTATCTCATTGCATTCCAGTGACTTCTTGTATAGATCCTGCAATACACCTCATAAAATTATTTGAAAATTACCTTGAATGGAACCCGAAGTTGAATTATAACTTGTGTATTCTGACATGATTGCAGTTTGGTTGTAATTCCCTCCTGAAATCTGGAGATTTGGTTTGCGTGGAGGAACTGAAATTAGAAAACAAATTAGTTGTTACATCTTCAGCTAACAAAATTACAATCACAGTTTTACAATGGCAAGCATCACCACGATTGACAAAATAACTTTCACGATTTAGTCAGGTTAGTAGGCGAAAGATTGTTCAATGCCTGGTGAAGACCTTTGCTTGTGGCCCCATGGAACCGGTTCGTGACACCCTTGTGGGCTAAGGGCCCATTTTGAAAAATATTGTTTAATTTTTTTGATTTTTTTTTAAATAACGCGCCAAGGTCAGATTATATTCAAACGGCCAAATGTGATCGCTTATTCCCTCCCTTTTATCAGTCGAACAACCGAAAAACAAGATATACCAATGGACAAAAACCGCTAGTTTGGTGCTCAATCATATAAGGCCTCACGTTACTTTGTTCACACATTATTCAGTGCTTATATAAGCATTCCTGATTGGTAGAGAGATACTATGTTTCAGCTTTAACCAAAATTGTTCTAGTTCAACATATAGGTGCCAAATTTATTACATCCGAGGTGAGGTGGGGAGAAATGGATGGTGTGCTGGAATTGATACATTTAACCAACATTACAGTTAGACTCGTCATAGACCAGTCGCGCCATATGAATTCACATATCAAATAAGAGCTATCTTGAGCAACCCTAACATTTTGAATCCTCTAATTGATTTTGTCCACCAAGAAACTAGTATCGGCATATAAAAAGTTTGGTTTAAATTATCTAGCGCAAAAGATTTTAAAATTAATGGAAGCGCCTATTTATTTTGGAGAAGTATGTGTACCAAGATGGCGCCTAACCTGATAACCCCCAACCTGATACACATAATTTGTTCAGGTTGTGCGCCATCTTGGTGCACAAACTTCAGGAGCACCTATATTTTCATACTACACACATACCATCGGTGTTGTAGATTAGTAGTTACGGATTTGAATCGCGCAACAAGTGCAGATCTTTTATGATGACAGTAGATTAACCTGTACTTCACGTTACTCACGAGGTTGCGAAGGTTCTGGTGGGTCTTTATCATCGTTATTCTGCTCTCGGCGTTCTTCTAAATCTGCTGGATTTCGAATTGGCTCTGCCTCATTAACAGCCGGGCACTGTTCTGACACTCTGCCCTCATCTGAAGCGAATGAAACAAGTTTTGGTTCAACCTATCTCACTTCGAAATGAAATTTCCAAAACCTTTATAATTCAGCGGCGGAATTCCAAATTTTAGGACAGGTTCACTTTATGTATCGAACTCACTAACAACGGGTTCCTTATTTGACTTTAAAGCTCTATTATAACAATACAAGAACGGAGAACAACCTGTACGATATATTTATTAGAAGACAAGACGGAACATTCTTTTTTTCAACATGACACACATTACAAAAATTATGGTAGCTTTTGAAAAAGGATAAATATAACGCCAGTCGTCAACTGCAGTACAGGCTACCCATTTGCAGCCGCGTCATCTAACTTCTGACCCCCCCTCCAAAAAAAAAAAAATTAACGGGTTTGCTGATTATCACGACATTCTAAGAACATTCCTATGTTACCACTTATTAACTCGTTTTGTATCGTAAGTAAAAAACGAGCAGTCAATTATTTTCAACTTTCCCGTGATATGTTATTAAGATACCATCGTTTTTGGTATAATAGGAAGTAGATTTATATCTGCAAAAATATATTTGTCATATTTGAACGTTTTGCGGATTGAAACCAACATCTTACATATATTCAACAGTCTCACCTAATTAGTTAGTCAGCGCTGGACAGAAATTACGATTTTATCAACACCTGGTGGATTCGTAACGTACTTGCTGTCGAGTGCTGATTTAAAAGTGAAGGATTAGAGCGCTAATTAGTGGCCGCGATGTCTTTGCTGTTTAAAACCTACAGGCTGAAACCCAATGCTCACCACCTCACCCAAGATATAATACTTAAAGCAACGTATGCAACGTAATTAAAGCAACGAAGAATGTCATGGATATTCGGTATAGTTTATGTTGTACATGGAAAGAGGGGGGAATAGGGCAAACGGGTGAATATAAGGAAAAAGGTTGGGAATTACTGCTTTAAAGTACAGAACCTGAAAGAGGGCGGGAAAGTTGAACATAAGAAATATAGTAACTAAATAACTAGCAGCGACTGCTTGTACAAGGCCTTATCCGGGGTGAAAGGTATATGTTGCGTCTTATATAAAATTATAACAACGCCAGACTAAGTAGTGTTTGTACATAGACCGGCGCCCCTGAAGTATGTGTACCAAGATGGCGCACAACCTGAACATAATACATGTACCTGGTTGAGGTCCAGGATGTGCGTCATCTTGGTACACAAATACTACCGGAGCGCTCAAAGTCCTATTTACAGTGACAGGCTTATAAAAATTTGTTTATATTTATGGCGACTTCCACTTCCTTGGAAATAGAGTCTTGTACCTTCTAATTCTTCGGGATTCTCGACGTCTTTGATTGATGAATTCGACGTTTTTGTAAAGAGTTTGGACCAGATGATGCTCAATCCCCATCCGAGTGCTATGCCGACGCCAACTAAAGATAATTCGTGTAAATTGATAACGGAAAAACGAGATAGCGATTGGAGACCGCCGACTTATCGGTCTAGTGGTGTGTATCCTTCGCTCTGACTCAATAGGGACACCGCGTGACCCCTCACTAATAACTCGCTAACTATACGACATAAATCATCCAAAATCAATAGGCCTCCGAGATATGCTAAATGCACATGCAAAATTTGGAGCAGATTCAACCTCAAACAGACAGACAAATACCTATCAACATACCGTACTTACCGATCGAAATCAATAAGTACTAGGAAAGCTTCATCAAAACTGCCGAAGCATACACATTTAGGTTAATTTATGTCATTTTGCAATATAATTATTTTGGAATAACTTTTTTTGACATGTATCAGACAAAGCTTATATCAATTTTAGTTTTAATCGTATAAATATATGTAGTTAGGGATATCAGAAACAGTAAATTATTGGTCTATAGTACAAATGGTGCACGACTTCTTCCGATAAGCGTGTGTAATAAAATCGTGTGCGTATATGAAGTGTTGGGATGTCGAAAATAAAAAAAAATAAAATGTGTTGGGCAATTGTCACCTATTTTTTCCGATCGAATATATCTCGCGCAGTTGAGATAGTCTATGTATCTAACGAGGTACCAAAGTGTTACAACCGTCCTCCTCGATGACGTGATTTAAATTATGATGTAACTCTCGGAAGAATACCCTACCTTTCCACACCTTCTTCAACCAGTCTAGGAACGCCATTTTGTGTATTTCCGAACCCACTCAGTGGTTGTTGATGCAACCTCTGATTCCCCTGGTGTTAGGATAGATTTGTTCTGTAAACAGATTGCAGAACTGATGAAAAATAGAAAAACTCAAATATCTAAGAATAAGTCATGGAAACCCGTTATTAAAAGAGTGCTGAGGGTCGCTGGAAGTGACCGGTGTGAGAACCACCAGTTTGATCTATTCTATAGATAAGGGGTGGAAAAATTTTTTGTACAAGAGCCGCATGCAGCAAGTCAGAAATATGTGAGAGCCGCATAATTTTGAAATATTCAATATTATAAATTAGAATACCTCAAACATAGAATTTACCCAAACATCTAATACCAATGAACGAGAATATCGGTCAGAGACCGGAGACTTATCGATCGAAAGTTAGGGGATCCCCAAAACAGCGGTATTACTCCATAGTGACACTTGTGTCCCATCACTAACTATTTGATAACTCGCTTAATTATACGACATAATTCGCCAAAAAATCAATAGGCGTCTGGTACGAGATATGATCACATGCAAAATCTGCAGCAGATCCAATCTCTCTTTCGTGAGATATCGCGTGCAACTAACAGACAGACAAATACCTATCAACATACTTACCGATTAAAATCGATGAAGTAATAATATAATAGATCTGTGCAATATGTCGACAATGCAATGCGGGACATATCGCACTGTGACTGGGACTCACGACTTCAAGCTGTAATACCGCCAACGCAGCACAAACAAGTGACCATTGTGCCTAAGATTTGTCGTTTGACTGATTTAAATTTAAAATTCCAGCGCTACAACGATTTTCATACTAAAACATAATTTGTCGCAATCATGAATGAACACTTCTCCAATCGCTTAATAAATTTAAAACAACTTGTTACACTACAGATTCTCTTATATTTGAATTTGGATATGATTCTATGTTAGCGAAAAGAGCCTCATAAAAACTCTTAAGAGACGCATGCGGCTCGCAATCCGCGTTTCGCCATCGTTGCTATAGAACAGGGGTGGGCACACCGCGGCTCGCTAGACTTTTTGTGCGGCTCTTCTCGCTAACATAAATTATTATTCAAATTTTAACTAAGAGAAAAACTTTAATGTAAACTCTTTTAATTTATTGAAAGTCGTAAAGAAGTTTTCGTCAATAATTAGAACAAATTATGTTTTAGTATGAAAATCGCTGTAGCGTTGAATTTAAGTCAGTCGAGTCAGCAAATCTTTCGTCACAATGGTTAATGTTTATTGATGCGTCGGCGGTATTGCAGCTTGATTGCGGTTAGTTAGTCTAAGTCAGTGTTCTTCAACCTTTTTTATCGAAGTATACCTTCTACAGTTTTTCAAGAACTTTGTATACCTTACAAATACCAATGTTTATTTAAAGGCTCAAATAAACAATAAATTTTAAGAACATATTGTACTGCAATATCATTATGCAATCTAATAGGCTAGTGACGGCAAGTTATAAATTTGACTGACTGCCTTAACGTCGACGGGAATAATATTCGACGTAAATCAAACCAAGTGCATGGCATCCGGAATCACCAACCCAGACACATGACCGTATTATCTATATAATTTGTGATGTAACAACGTGCTCACGTCGGTTCTCAGCGTTAATAACATTTTACATTTCACGTGCGCCGCGTTTGCATTGTTGTATCCAATTGAATATTTTATAGGCTGTACACCTTTCGTATATCCTTTATCAGTTGTATACCCAACTTATGGTCTGGTATACACTCGAGTATACCGTATACCCGGTTGAAGAGCACTGGTCTAAGTTACTGTGCGATGTGTACAAAATAAAAAAACGAAAGTACGAAAACAGAGTTGTCAGTGTTGCCTTGTTTATCTATTTATTGTTATTAGACTCATGTGTGAATTTATTTTCTGTTCATGGTATCTCGATAATATTAATAAATTCACAAATTCTGCGGCTCTTTTGAAGTTCTTACTTGCAGCATGCGGCTCTTATACTAAAAAATTGTGCCACCCCTGCTATAGAATCCTAAAGTGATCCGCGCAGAGTCCACTCGTTTCCGTGAGAAAAACCTAGAGGCTCTGCGAGCTATTAGATTACTCGTTAAAATACTGCCATGATTACTCAAGATGCAATAAATACATCCGAGTCATTAAATAACTGAAAAGTAATCTTAATTTACTCGGAGACTAATAATGTGATTTTTTATCGATTTATTGTGCGGCTTCGTGAATAGTAGCCAATCTCTCCATAGGCTCTACACCAGAAGATTCCGACTTCTTCGAATATAGAATGCTTTTAAAATGATAAGTCTCGTACTAACTGCTTTCCGAATCAACCGGAGTGGATTGCCCAAAGTCTTACGTTAATTCCACACCTGATATCTCGCTAAATATTTTCAATAAATGTCATTATTTTATAACTTCTTTTTTAACCGGCCTGACCTGAATTTCCCAAAGTTCCACCACATCTGATATCTCGCTGATTATTTTCAATAAAACTGCAGCTTCCGGTACATCAATGAGGCATGTAAACGAAAAAAAAAATTGAAATAACACTCTGTCATATTTTCGGGCAAGCGCGATAATTCGGGCTGTCTCTTCCTATGCCAGGCTATTAATGCGCCATTCACAATTCCATAAAAACACAGGTCATCCAAGTCCGAATATATATATATAATTTTGAAAATTCAAGTCTCAAGTGTCATATTTTGAATTCCAGACAATCGAGCAGCCTGTATAAACATTTAATGAATTCCCTTCGAAATGGAAAGCGCCTTGTTGACTTTGAGTCGGCTTCACCTTAATACTTGTTGGCAAGCATATTGGGACATCCATGTTAAATTTACTGAATATTCTTTTACGATACGATGACACCGTGTAATGCCAAATCCAATTATGTCCAAAAAATTGTCACCGACATAAATTCAAAAAATTTCCCGCCCGAATAAGTTTGAATATTCGAACATTTTAACTTATATATCTATGTAAACGCAAAAATCGAATTTTTTGTTATCACAAAATATTCCTCAATGAGTATTTTTTGCTCTACCCTGACTGGGCCCCGCAACACATAATGCTGGTCCTGATCACACAAGACTACTTACTATTGAAGCCTCGACGGATTCGATGCCTCGCCGGGTGATCGCGAGGTTGAATGAATACAACGTTTGAAATGAAACTTTGATTACAAGCCCTGAATTTCGGAAATATTTGTCAAGTCCGTTCGCATAAGTTAATGTGCTTTCGATGCTCTCTAGTCTTCTACCTTTTTTTTATCAAAGAACAGTTGCCAATTTTGACGAGAAATAATAAAAATGTATTCGAAACTAAATCCAAATACAGCTATTTGAGACTCGGTTTTTCACTATATCGCGGTATCATGTTGAATGTAGTATCATCGTGGTGTTTTATACATACGTCGTTCAAAATAATTCAGAATTCAGGCATCTTCGGAAATATCAGCCCGATCGCACGACGGGAAATGGCCATGTATGCAAGTTACAGTTTAGGACATTCTAGTCATCTTGGCTTTATTATTAAATATCGATTTTAAATTTCCCCTAGTTTTTGAAACTTGGATTGAAACGAAATTTTTTGAATAACCATGACGATTTTCTCTCTAGAAACACTGAGCTCAAATGCCAGAACGAAAAAAACTACCCGAAAATATCAGGTAAATTTATTGAATTTTAAAATTCGTTTGCAGTCATATCATATTATTTGAATGTGTTATAATATCCAACTTTTAAAAATCCTTTTAAACCACATAAAATTTCATTTCAACATATTTTTAACAGCGTCTGTCAGTAGCCGATATAACGGAACAGGTTATTAAGCGTTCAAATGAATGAGAACGTAATATTTGTTCGTGGAGCTATTATTAGGCCATAAAGTGTTTCAGTATCAGTAGGAAATGTAAGAAAAAATGCTGTAAAACCAAGATAAAAATAAAATGTTGTTTTTGTATAACTGAATCACAAATCTAGCTGTTAAAAACAGATTATCAAGCCCATATCTATTTCCTTTGTGATCACCATTCTTTCGACCTAAAAGGGGGACAGGATGATATCAACTAAATTGAGGTTTACTAATTCTGACAGCCTAAATCATCTAAATATGCCCTTCACTTTTGGCAACATTTATTATCATTTTACATTTAGGATGGTAACATTCAAACACGTCAATAAAAAGCACAAATCTGTACATGAATGTTGCACTTGATTGGTGATTCGGCCTTTTGTAGGGGTCCTTATAATCGAACCTGCTGTCAAATGGCAATACAATAGCCAGCCCTCTAGGAGGAAGGCCATTCGAATGGCAATTGTAACAATATATCCATTCCTATTCCTAATCCGCTGTCTATATGGCAGTCCAACAGCCCTCCATAGAGAAGGCCATTCAAATGACCATTGTGACTATAAATCCATCACTATTCCTAACCTGCTGTTTATATCTGTATATGGCAGCCCAATATCCGCCATAAAGGAGGCCAGATGGTGATTCGGACCATATACCATCCCTAACCTGCTGTCCATATATTAGCCCAATAGCCTTCCACAGAAGAGGCCATTTGAATGGCGATTGGGATAATAAATCTATCCATACTATTACCCTGCTGCATCTGGCCAATAGACAGAACTGGCACTGCTAAAACATTCAAAACTGAAAGAGAATTGGGACAACAGAGCTAAGCTTTATATTAGATATAGGCTTGGTAGGTTTTCTATTTCTATTTCTTTTCTATTTACAATATATCAACAAATACTAAATTTGATATCTATGAATACAGTTCGCTTCCAAATACCAGGTTCAATTCATCACAAACTGAGGTTTCAAGCACAGCAGTTCCTCTTTCATAGCTTGCGATCACTCAGGCGTGTCTCTATGAGCATATATCGGGTAACATTGAACAACTTTCTATAACTGCGATGTCCATATGTCTAGATTTTGCACAGACATGGACCAGAGCAGAAAATACGAAAAGTCGTAAGCTAGAGAGAACAAAAAGTTATTTTAATTTTTCCGAGTAAGAGCATTCACTGTCAAGGGGTCAAGACTCAAAGATAACCGATATCAGTGCGACACACTTGAATCACTGGTTTACCACGAGCTGTGGATGGTGGAAACAACTGAACGAGTGTCGTTTCTGATTGAATTACTTCGTATAAAGATGCAGGGTGGGCTTATCTTTGTCTTTGTGATGGACTACGAAATACGAAAATCTTAAGCTTGTAGAAAACTTATTTATTTCAGCGATTCAGCGCAGCGGTTTCTAATAACTCTTAATAACCCTGTTTATGTAAATACCCAGTTTTGCTCTTAACGTATTTCCATCAGGTATTTTTAGCGCCACAGGTTTTAATAAATGATGTCCTTTCATGTCAGTGGCTGCTTGCTCAGAGATAATATTACGAGATAATATTTGAGTTAAAGACGAGGAAGAATTGTATAGAAAAAAGTTATGGCATATGTTTTTACTGATTTTCTGTAGCGACGTTGTAACTCAACGTTTTCAAACCAATAGAAATTCTACTCCAGGAATAGATTTTGCCGTTTTGGGAAAAATTTGTTTTGTAGTTTCTGTAGCATAACTACTCGTATTGTATTTATTATACAATGACACTAACGATACTATAAATATAGTACTTATTTATGAAAATATAACAACTTTGTCACATGCGCATGAACGAGAGTGCGCCAAATGCATAACGCTACCAACGGATCTATTTAAAAATTAGACAAATGAAGTAGTTTTTTGCACAGAAAGGGAGGAAAAAAAATCCAAAAATAGACGGTTGTGGTTAGCAGGTCCCCTTAGACGTCCCAGCGGACAAAAGACCATGGTACGCTACGCGGTGAAATTGTGCTTTTGATTTCCGCTCCTAATTTAGAGTGAAGTATCGGGACACATACGACATCGAACGAAATAAAGAACTAACGTGAGACTTCTAGCCATTTCAAAGCGCATCTTCAAGGCTTAAATTTTGAATCGATTGGTACATTAGTTAAAGACAAATGCAATTTTTCACGACGATTTGTAGGTATCCACTGAACCATGGTAACGTAAGCATCACGATCGGATATGTCTCGCGTAGACAAGAATAAGAAACTGATATTTGTTCCGGGGGAGAGTATGATAAATAGACGGCTTATTATATGCCAAACCATCTCTCGTTTGGTCACCAGTTCATAACAGGTGGTAAAATAGCTAACTAGTTATTTGTTTCAGATGCATGTAATTAATGGTATAGGAGCTGTAAATTGCAGCCACATGAAACACTCTATGACCGCGAGGGGGCCAGCGATCTTTTCGCACCTAATCATGACGAGGATTCGACACGTGGTTATATATATACTCGCACAGTGGTTCTGATACCGTGACCCACAGCGGGGCGTAAACAACTTATTAGGGGGTGTGAGGCTGATTGAAAATTAAAATATACGTGAGATTAGATGTTACCCGCCGTGTTTTGAATATTTACATGTTTTATTGTTTAAAAATTGCGTTTCCATCCACGTATTTTCAACGTTTTTTTTTTTTGATCAAGCATACCCTCTACTTATTATCTGGTATCTGAGCTGAGGTATTTGTTAGCTAAGGTATTTATAAGGTGGAGAGCGAGACTTGACAAATTCAGAGTTGGTTATTCGCAGTAAACTAGCAGCACTGACAATACCACAGCTAACCAGGCCAACAATCTGACTCAGCGACCCTATATTGCTTTATCTTTTAATGTTGTTTGTCTGCACCTTACGCGGTGCATACTGCCGCGTATTGATGCTATGAATTGTTTTCAAAACAACACATAAGAAGAGTATGATAACAATGCAAATGGTGAAGATTAGATCGAGGAAAGCGGTCGGCTTAGTCGGATTGACAGAGTTGTATATTGGGATCCTTCGCTCGGGCATTCGTTAAAAACGAGCTTTGAAGTATACCCCGCTTTTTCTAGCTAGGGATAAGTTGCATTCAGTCAGTCGGTAGCGGATATACAGCGTAGATGATAGGATTGTATTATAAATTGTATTGTTTTTCAAAATTTGAGAAATTACGTCATACTTTTTTGAACGTATTCGGGTAAAAAAGCAAGTCAAGTCAAGTAGTGCATTCCAAATAAAAAAATTTTTCATATTATGAGTTTGGCTTTATAAAGTTTGACCGACGATCATATTCCCGATTCGCAGCCGAACCCGTTCTTAAAATGTTGTGATAATTAGCGAACCCGATCTTGTCGCGAGAGCAATAACCGACTTGGTTTTCTGAGCTGCGGGCGCCTGTTATTAGTGGATCAGGGACGTGCAACTTTTAATACAGGATGACCAGATAGAAACATTTAACGTAGATTTCTAATAGTTTGTTCATTGATCTTGTGACATGCGTTGTTGGCACAAGTTAGCTGTTTAGCTAATTATGCAACATAACAGGCATAGATATTAAGTAGAACTCAGGTATAGGTTTAGCAACGCACAGGGATTGGAATCACTTGCATGTATCAAATTAAATTTAAAACTCGTTTCGTGAGCCGCAAATCATTCAAAATCGGCTCAGCGAGTC